TTTGAATTGTATGCATTGATTTATCTTCATTTAATTGATAACAATATTAAAATACACGAATGTTATGACTTGACTCTACAAGAAAGCAAAGTGCAAGCACATGTCTAGAAAACTGATAAACGATTTGTAACAAACTTTTTATTTTCCGAAACATTTAATGGAGTTAACATTATATCATCATTTGAAAATATCTTACTGGTAGTCATAATCTAATAAACTGTTTTAAAAAATCAGCGATCTCGTAAAATCCCATCATTTGAAATAAGCTATCTAGAAAATAACACCAAGGAAATGAATTGCTTCCAACAAAGGTAAAATCACTTAACTTGTTATGGATAAATTTATCGTTAATATGTCAATTAATGAGGCAGACATTATTTTTCCGCAAATCTTTCATTTGTCACTATTGTTTAGTTTGATATTCAATGAATCGCATATATCTCAATATTAATGGTGTAAATAATAACTATTGCGTCATAAAATACTGCAGCACATATGCAAAGCTAATGCATCCCATTAGTAAAGTATCAGCTATATTCATTGGGGCAATGCATATAATGATGATGTAGCTCAGAATAAATCAACACATTAAAACATTGTTTTATTGGTGATCAATAGGTATCTCGAGCATAAATATCCTAGGTGACGTCCAACATACCCACTTTAAATAATTAGTATCTACTACTTAATGTTTGGCGTTAAGAATATCTACATTTATTCCCTTTTTAACTCTTTTATAACATGTGTTTAGAAAATTCAGCGTTTATCACTATTTTCATGTTAACGTTTTCTATGGTCAATATATGAAAAATTTAAAATGCATTTCGGAAAAAAATTCCTTATCCTTTAAATATATCAATAACGTTACCTCCTAATTATATATTTGTGTTCGTTTTCGAATGGCATTCCTTGCAGAAAACAACTTTAAAACATACCGAATGCGCAAGGAATTAAGCAGAATCTAGCATTATAATAAGTATGAATAATTACGTACACGTAAGAATTTCTAAACATCTGAAGATAAATTAATGGGCACCGATCAGGGACGTTTAACGAGTTCTAGACATGCGTGCACGACAAGCTGCTATAGAGGAATATTGTGTGTAGAAGTGCTTTACACGGATATAGAAAGGCTAACGGTTGCATGATACAAGCTTGTACATGAAAAATAGCTAATTTTTTTAAGTGACATTATGCTCATATTGCATAGTCAAGTTGAGCTGAACTGACTATATATTTCAAAATATTGACTATTAACATGATGATTGACCAAAAGTTCATATTGGAAAATGTTTTGGATAAAATTTAAAATTGGCCTAAAATAGAGAAAGACTGTCCCACTCTTTTTATGAACTAAACTTTACAGGTAAATTTTGATAGATATTTACGAAAAACGTTTGGATGCATGCGTTGTTCATTGTTAATGTGAAATAATTGTTTTTTTATTAATTAAAAGGGAATTATGGCAAAATGAAAACTTATTTTGACTTTCACCTTTTCACTCATTTATACACTTAAGTAGGCATTATGAACAAATTTGATTCCAATTATCAATGCTTTTATAACAAATACTTTCATAACAAAAGACTTTGTTAATAACTATGGGCGATGTCGTAAGGATCAATCGTCTCAGAAAATAAATATTCTGATGAATAATTGTAAATAAAACATCATTATTTATTTTATATTTATCTGCCCTTTTTTCCACTTTAAACAGACTAATGTCGGAAAAATGTTTTCTCAAAATTGTCTTTAGAACTGGATTAAAATAATGCACAACAATACTAAAGTACAGACGTGTTTAAATTAAAAACAACAATTCATACTGTGTATATATATATGCTGGTAAGTAATTGAAAAAAAGAGTGAAATCCCTTAGTAATCTTTACAGAGAGAAACTTTTTAAAACTCCTGTCAACGCTGTCTGGAAAATAATTTCTATTCGGTAAAATCCATTATTAAGAATAGATAATATTACAGTTTATTGAAGCTTAAGATAAATGGAATGCAAAATCGTATTACAACAGAAGACATCAACTGCTATCGAGATACATGTACGCTTCCAAAGACAACTTTTTCCAATTTGACAAAACATTGGGACCATTCTTCTGTAAATTAATAAAATACTACTATTTTCAAAAGGTTATTACTATAAGTGAGGTGTTGCCTTTAATGTTTGAGGAATAAAATGTACAGCTATAGTTTTTTCCTGCGTGATCATATCCAGCACGTGAGGAGGTTTTGATTCTTGTGTTGGTGTAACACCGGATGTTAGCTAAAATCATCTTTCCTGTTTCGGCGCCATAAATATATAAGTATAAGTATCATCCATATACACGCACAACATTTATGTACATTTTCAAAAGGCAAATTTTAAAAGTATATGACCCTTCTATACAAAACTACAAGATATTAGGGTTAAATATGAATTGATATATTATATAATATATCACATTAGTAGTTTAGACATATTAAAGATAATGATTAACAATTTATCACTCAGTTGAACTAGGATGAAATATTGAATAAACTGACATAAAAATGAACAGATGTGTTACTCCAATCCTTTGAACAGTTTAACACCCCCAGTAGGTAGAGTATGAATTTAATCATGTACATAAATCAAACAATCTTCTCTTTAAGATAATATAACATGGTTTGACGACACAACTATTTATCATTTAATTATCTAAAAATACAAACATTTTTTTCTAAATCTGATATCTTTAAAGAGTTTTAATACTTTTGTATGTTTAAGGCTACACGTATCCTCATATACATTACAATTTATTGATAAACATCTTCGACAGAATCACAAAACGGGCACTTACGGTCATGAAGCAGAATAATTTCATACGTGCCAGTTCTATCCTTATAAATTTTAAAGAAACAGAAAAAAGAAACTAACATATCAATCGAAGAAATTTTAAATATAATATGTAAAAGAAATGATAAATGGTAATCACAGATATAACATATATCTTAACACACATACTGAAATTTTTTACAGTTCATTTTATCAATCACTATCATTAAATATAATACTTTTTCAGTGGATCATTTACATCATTTCATCAAAAAACTAACACAATTAACACAGTCAAAAACTCAAAACTAAAACAGACTACCATCATTTAAAAACATTTTATAGTAAGAACTTATAACAGGTAATAATGAAAATAGATTAAAATTTAAAATTCGTATCTTGTATATCTTGTATATATAATACACACGGACCGTGTTGTTATTAAATAAGTATTTCTCGAAACATGACTTTCAATAGAAATATTTGTCATATTACACTGAGATAATTATAGTTATTTCTTGAACCTCAGACATGACTGTCTGACCAAATACTAGTCTCGTCTTAAGTCTAGATGGTGTAGTATTACAAATACGTGTCAAAAAGACAGCAACTGTTTTAAGCTGTCGGACAAAAGAAGGGCCCAGGCCATTTTCCCAATCACTGTACTATTTGATTTATATTGTCCAACACTCAAGACATTTCTCATTGCGCAGTTATGTACTACGTTGATACAGGAAAATGCTCTACATTGTAGTACCCTAAATAAGAAGCGTTATTACTGATGAATGGTCAAACAACGGCGTTATGAAATTCAGTAAAAACGTCTTAAGAACTTCTGCACATTTACATGAAACAATATGTAAACCGAGAGCTCCAATAACATATGACCTATTCCAAACAATTAGAATGTCCTGCATCATGATTATTGAAACACAAGTCACTTAAACTAGATACTAGCAGCCATTTGGTAAAGGAACTTTGGGGCTTTGTCTGAAGAGACACTCACTGTTTTAAGACGAAAACTATTTTTTTTAAATAAGGAAGAAACGTCAAACGTTTATTCTATTTAACCTTCTATTTGTATGTCATTTTGATTTACTATGCTTAAGACTATTGTAAGGGCTGTGTTTCATGACTGTGTCTCCCTTGCTGATCATTATCTTCACAATTTACAAATCAAGTAAATACAAAAGCTCGTTGATTGTTCATCACAACATACTATTTTTGAACAGGTGCGTAGCCAGGTCAGGAGCACTTAACCCCACCCAAACCTCTCTACAACTCCTAAAGATAATTTAATAAAATATGAATAAAATCATTAAAAAAATAACAGTCAACATTGATATATGACAGATCAATATAATATCAGCTAACTGCCTATCCGTAATAACATCCTATCCGACTCTGCTTAAATATCTGTAACTTCATTATTTTTTTAGTAATTTTCATAATGTTTATGGCATATATTAGGGAAAAGAACTGTCATTGAAATTATATTGGATTTTGAAGAGTGTCTCTACGGGGATATCTGATTGCATCGTTGTTAAAAATATCATGAGTGGACTGAACACTATCCGCTGAATGCTTAATTCCGTATTGCCTGTTTTGGATGATAATTAAAATGAATACCGTTAATATGTAAACGATTACAAACTAACTTATAGTGGTACGGAATATTGTTTGTTTCCAAATGTTTGTATATTTCAACTTGTGTTTCTTTTGTGTAAAAAATTTTGTTTAAATTTTTAAATTTTTTCCCATACTTCTCTTTAAAAATAATGTGATATTGGTTACATAATGATTACTTGTTTTTTTTCTATAGTCCTTTTGTAGTAACTAAAATCATTCTCTTCGGTTTGTAAATGTCCCGATTAACTTTTAAAAATATGGCTAAAGAACATGGGAGATATGTTCATATGCTCAAAAAACTTTTAAAAATGACGTTTAATGTTTTACTATCTTTTAATAATAAAAATATAATAAAATAAAAATAATAAAATAATGGCCAGAAGTAATTTAAAAAAATCATGTTTTTGTTAAATGATAATAAATATTCAAGATATATCTAGCTTTTAAAGGAAAAAATATCAAACTTTTTTTTCTTGTAGATTTTTAATTTACTATTACTGCAAGTGAACAAAAACAACATAAAAGATTATTTACCAACGCAATCGTTTTCTTTTGACTGTATCAATATTGGATGCTTACAGAAGTTCAGATACATGTTGTTGTATGAAAAAGTTCTACGGTCTTCTTTTGAAGGTTTGTCAGCTCAAACTAAGACATAGTTACCTTAATGATAGGACCCATCATATACATATACTTTCTTGATAATAAGAATAACGTCAAACCTAAACATCATGATATTTGATCATAAAATAGTTTGTGCACTATATTTCTTCATAACATGATATCACAACAGATCTTATATAAAGATATAAATAAAGTTTGTGAATGCCAATGTCCCACTCAGTGTAGCCAAACTCCATTTGTGTAACGGAGATTAAAAATAATTACGACAATTTTTGTCTTTATATGTATTAAAATTGCGTTTGAATATTTTTTCTCACAGTAAAATAAATGCATAAAAGGAATTTTAACAAACAAACTCATATTTTGCTCAAACATTCATGCAATATGGGTAAATTACAGTTACATTCCATTGTGACATTCTACCATATTTCAAAGGAGTTCTTGTAAGGAAGGGGAATTGTTTTTTTTTTTTGTTTATGTATCTTGATCCTCGTATCTTGATATGCCTTTTACAGTTTTTCCTTTCCCTAAATGTCTGACAGAAAGGCTAAGCAGCGCGAAATTCATCAATTAGAGATAGGCATAGAACGAAAAATAAGGCAATTCAGTTTCAAATAATTTAAAAAACTGCCTATCATAGTCTCCTACTAGGCCCATCAATTACAACGAAAATAGAAAAGCATGTACAACTTTAAAAGTGTTGAACCAGAAACAATAAAATTCATTCAGTCTGTCCTAAATAAAAAATCATAATATCATGGTCAGATAAGTGTGTTACAAGCAGCTGAAAAAGTACCATGACCCTAGATATTACGAAGTTTATTTACTAGAAAAACAAAGATCAACAAAGAAGGGTGACATTCAATGAACGCATCGTCAAAACACATCTACACAACACCGGATCACCGTTAATATGTATCCCGTCTAGTTTACATATTAAATATTTTACTCATTGATGAAGAAGAACCATTTGCATACTTTTAGTAGAACCTAAAGCTAGGAACATCCCAGGGAAATTTTTACAACATTCGACCAACCGGTTTCAAAGGAGAAGTCAAATGAAAAAGTCTACAACGGACGAACTGAAAGACGATGATCTCAAAAGCACACCTTGAGCGCTTTGTTATCAGGTGTACTAGAGCCCTGAGAGGGGGCATAAGAGCAATGCACGTACTGGCTGTTAATTGAAGTAAATAAAAATACGCTGTTAATTGAAGTAAATAAAAATACGCAATCATAAACCGGATCTCATAAAGACAGTCTTGCGAATACCAAGTCTCAAAAGATTGTAAATAAGTTGCCATCAAAATATATATGTATTCACATATTAAAGTGTCAAAATGGGAGATAGTTAGGGCATGAATATGCAGTAATGTAACTAGTTAGTCAATATAATATTAAAATGTTGTATTTGTCAAAAAAAATGAAATCAACAATACTGCTAGAAATATACATATGCATTTTACTTAAACCGTTAGTGAAAGGTTATTAAAAATGAAAACTGAAAATAATGCAACTCAATAACTGAAATAACATTGGACAAGTGATGTCACGGATATACAACTGGCTAAAATCATTTTCTTAATATCGGACAGTCAGAATTTTGTCAAAATATTATTTTTCCGTATTGGGCGCTGACGCGTTATAGCTATTTTTAACAGTCTGTGAAAGTGCCTTTAAACTTTCTATGATTTCTCGATTTGAGTTTTCTATTTTATCTATTTTAGTATCAAAATGCACCTTAATTGCTGTTAATTCTGATTTAACGGAATCAAACTTGTGTTCGGTATTGTCCAGGATATTTGCTTGTATTTCAGCTGTGTGTCTCATAATATCTGCGGGAATACGACGATTAATTCCGGCGGATTGAGATGTATTGTTTAAACGAACCTGATATAACTTTAAAGTTATATTGGAAGTCTGTTCTTCGAAGTCCATACATGTATCAGTGGGTGGATCCCTGTAGAGTGAAATGAACTCACTTAATACGTCAATTATATCACGAATTGGTGTAACCATACAGGTATTGCCAATTCCCCCTTCAACTATCCCAACTACAAACAATCTGTCTTCGCTTTTTGTAAAGACAAGTGCCCCTGAATCTCCTGGCTCACCAAATGGACCACCATCAGCAGATTCTATCTCGATTTGTTCATACAGTGTCAAGTCCATTCCAAGAAAATGATCCTTTAATACACCAGTACGCACGGAACCGCCATTAAATCGAACTTTTCCTTTGGTTAGTCCAGTCTTTGACCCGTATTTGTAAACATCTTGGCCATTTAATTGTTTTGAATAGATGTCAATATTGTCCAAAGATAATATATAACCATCTATGGTTTCATTTGCTGAAAGGCAAAAACACAATTATAGTTATTTACAGTTTTGGTTAATACTCTCATGCATAACTTTGAAACATTGTATTAGGTCAAATATACAGAATGGAGTTTTATTATACATCGAATTCCAAATGCAATTAATTTTGAATATCCTTTTTTATAATATAAAACTTAAAGTTCATGTACATGTTCAATTTGACTGCTTTTACGTACTAGGAAATTTCCCGTCTACTGGAACACGTTGGTTGTCGATTCTAACCAGTGCAACTTCCATTCCAGGTTTGTATTGACGACCTTCCCTGTAAACAGCGAACTCTAATTTACCAAGACGATGGCGAGAGTTATGTTCGACTGATATACTTTCCGGTGGCTGGTAAGTGTCGGTACCAAACTTTCCATAGTTAACATTGGTGTCTACGATAAGTTTCTTCATTTGTTCTGGGTCAAGTAGAACATGAGCACTGGTTAAGAGGTAAGTATGCAAGTCAGTCGGATATTTGAGAAACGGGCCTACTGTTCCTTGCTTCGTTCCAAACCCACTGTCTAATGCGCAACCCATTCTTACGTGTTGATGGAAATCATCTGTGGGTAATCCATACAGCGAAAAAACACCTTCTCGGACATCAGTAGGGTAACCATCAAGAAATTGTTCAAATGGATCTTCATCGATTGGAATAAGTCCTTTGATTTGAACGTAAAGAGCTATACATGGTAATTTCACCATCCTCTGATCGTCCATATCAAGTCCACTAGATTTTATTACACTTACGGTTACCCATGTAAGTTTTTTATGCTTTTCCATTAAATGTTTAGCTTTTGATTTTACATATAATGCTAAATCGTCACTCCTCAAATCATATAACTTTTCGTTGTCATGTATACGTTTATTTTCGTTCTCGCTCACCGATGAAATTTCATTTAGATGTCTTTGACATATTTGATAATCTGACTGAATATTTGCATCCCTGTCTGTAATAACAACAAAAACGATTTGATCCTCACTGCAATCCATACCGTGTTTATGTTGATAAGCTGGCCAAACATTGACAATATTATTTGACTGCTCTTTAATGTTTTGACATATACCATTGCTAATGATTCGAACAATTTCAGACTTTCGGCCGTATTCTTTACAGATGTTTTGAAACAAGCTATGATCCGGCAAAGTTCCTTCCAAGAGCAACCTTTTTGCATCATTTTCGAAATTTCTCGAGTGTCTAAAGCACTGACGCCATGAACCTGAATATAAAAGAAACAATCCGAGTATAACAATTCAAAGACCAGAGATGAAGATAAATAGTAAGTGAATTGTGAATGTAGATAACAACAATTATAACTAAAGGTGATTTATACCTAACCATTTTGGAAAAAAAGTTGTCTAAGTCAAATGTGAACTTGCCAATTAAATTTAAAATTTGATGTTTCGTCATTTTACAGATAATAATTACAATAAATTGCATTGATGGAAATAGTGTAATCAACTGATGACTAATATTTGGTAAAACGGAAAAAAGGATATATATTGCTAAAAATAGCCTTCTGAAGCCAATTAGAGTGTTATCAAATTAAAAATTGAAACAAAAAACAATAACTTAACCTTGGAAGTCCAGCTGATTTATGTGTCAATATGTCAATGTAAGTCTTAATTACTTGGAGGTCAAGGTCAAAAAGTATTTTTTTTCATAGAAGGTTAGTCCTCCGAAATGTCGTATCTTAATATAAAGATATTCAATAGATTGATAAACAACAACAACACATTATCAAAATATAATAATCTGACCGTCAAGGTAATGGTGATTTATGTCAAGGTCAGTCAGGGCAACATGAAAAGCATTCCAATTTGAAAGGTTTAAAGTGTCAGAGTATGAAGACAATTCATTGATTAACATTTAAACCATAGCCAAATTTGTAAATTTTGGTATATTTTATATGTCAAAAAGATGCATAACTATATCAAAACACATATCAGAGTTATGAAACTTGACATCGACAGTTGCATTGTGACTTTTGTTTGAATTTTCAATATCTCTACCAGTTCATGAGATGGGACGGGACATGATGGGACAGGACAGGACTAAACTAAAAAAAGCATTCCGTTGATAATTTGCTACCTTATTAGATATAATTTTCACAGTCGCCACTTGGTCTATTTGTTTCAGGTAAAACGCATCACATATGTTCTAAATAAATTAAAAGGCACTAGTTTGCCCTTTTCCGAGAAAGAAAGCAAAAAAGTTAATTCACCCTTTTGGTTTAGCGAATCTTGATTTGCTTGAACAATTGAAAGAGGCGTTTAAGGTTTGCTTTCAAATTGGTGTCTTTTCTGTTTCGTCTTAAATAATTTGAAACGCTGATAATATTGACAGAGACGTTAATGCATATTAACGTTCAAATATTAAGAAGTACGTTGATACAATAGAGTAGATATGTATTGATTCAATTAAAAATTATCAGGTACCGACGAAACACACTTTTAAATATCTTTTACTTTTTTTGAAAAATAGCACTATGCTCGTGGGTATATTTCAGGAAAGTTGATAACTAACCTTTTTCATCTGTTTGTAAGCGTTCTACTTGTACATTTTCTGTCATTCGTGTTTGATATGGCTCAGGCATAAACGGCTTCCCTAAACCTACAAATGCAATAATGATATATAAATATCGAAATAGTAATATATATTTAAATAAAACCTACATTATATCTACTTAAACATGTGCTAAATTACATTTATTCAACATACTATTCAAAACGAAAGTCATTAATTAAATTTGATATGTTAGTTGCTAAACTGTTAATGCATATGCTGATTACATCTTAGGTCAAATAAATGCCATTTGAACGTTGGGTTTAAACATATTCAATATTATTTGAAAAGTACGGCGATTGTTTCAATCACCACAGAAAATGACAAAATCATATTTTATGTTGAATAAGGAAAATAAAAAAAACAACAACAGGACAGTCAAAATTACAATGGAAAGCAACAGGAAAATAAACCTTGAGCTGTGCATTATTTAAAAAAAATCCTGAAATGTATCCAACATTCCAGATGATCTGTCATTACTGACTTGCGAAAAGAAAATTAGATTTAAGCCGGGAGAACTTGTTACTCTTTCAAAGTGAACGCCGCATTGAACTTCCAAACTATGAATTCGGATTTCTTACAAAAGTGAATTAGAAAAATATGAAGTCGTAATGAGCATTTTCTTCGTGCAAAGCTAACTACTTCTTAAAGATTTCTAAAAAATTGTAGATTTCATGTTTAAGTTCTAAATTTTGAAGTGGATATTGTATCATATACATAGCGTAATGCTACAAACGACCGGGACGGACATTTCAACTTCATAAATTCCCGGTCTCACCTTTATGATTTCACGATTTAAACTTCGTGAATTCACGTTTTAACAAATGGAATTTACGATTTCAGCTTCAATGATTCAAGATTCATTTTCACGAATTCACGTTTTCAACTTGATGGATTCACGATTTCAACATCAACAATTAACGATTTCAAGTTCACGTATTCACAATTTCAACTTCATGAATTAACGCTTTCAACACATTGATTACAACTTCGTGTATTCACGATTTTAACTTCACGAATTCACGTGTACAACTTCATGAAATTACAATTACATTTACACGAATTCCCGATTTCAACATTTCAATTTCACGAATTCAACTTCGTGAATTATTATACACGTTTTCAACTTTACAAATTCACGCGTTTAAGTTCATGATTTCACGATTTCACCTTCACGAATTCACAATTTCAACAAGTTGATTACAACTTCGTGAATGTACGATTACTTCTTCACAAATTCATATTTCAACTTCAAGTATCCACGATATCACCTTCATGAAGATGAAATCGTGAATTCGTAGCTAAAATCCTGAATTCGTGAGGATTAAATTGTGAATTCGTGATGTTGAAATCGTAAATTCATAAACTTGAAATCGTGAATTCGTGAAGTTGAAATCGTGAATTACCTAAGTTGAAGTCTTTAAGTTGAAATCGTAAATTCTTGAAGTTGAAATCGTAAATTCGTGGAGTTCAGATCGGGAAAAAAATCTTTCGTAAAAGACAGTGTGTCAGGTATTCAAGGACAATTATTTCTAATATTGACAAAAACAGTTAAAATGTACCAGTTGAATATACATAAAAGATATTACTTAAAAAATATGAAAGAACAGAGAGGTTTAGAATGAACATTTATATGATGAATAATAATATGTTGTTCTAGAACGCTTTATTATAATGCTATGTGAATATACGTAATAATGGATCAGATATCACACATTTGCCATCAACATCCCTATTATGCATAATTTATTTGTGGTATGTTATGTGTGAAACGTCCACAATATACCTATTTACAATCTTATTAAAATCAGCTCCTAAATAACGCTACGCATTAGTATCTTACATTCACCAATAGGCAACCACCTTCCCGTGATCTTTCAAACAACCAATCATTGGCAATCTTTCATTATTTTGAAAGCGATGCGGTTTTTAGTTTTAACCATATGATTACCAATACTTACATGTAGTAGGTAATTTTCACGATTAAGAGAACAAACATGACGTTGTTTATATAGCCGACAAGTAAACTGGCCAGAAAATCTTGCCCGTAAAAAAATTACTTTTTTTTTAAAAGTCAATTTGTAAAAAAAAATACTTTAAACATTATTTTTTTTTTTACAAAAATCAACAATTTGTTAAACTTCAACAAAAAACGGTATTTAGATACGTCTTCTGATGGCTATCTGTAAAAACCGGTTTGATTGCATGGCTAAAGTAGCTTTCTCGGGGAAATCCGAATTATAACAAAAGCGAAACATATACGGTCGTCATAAGATCTTTATGAAAGAAATAGGTAGAACTGAGCTTTAGTCATATTGGACCAATTTACTATAAAACGTTTGTCCGTGCATACTCGCCAAAACCGAAAACTTTCAGTTCTATCGCAAACACAAGTGTCTGAGCAGGCGCTAGTAACGAGACTGTTCCCGCCAAATTGTTATATGTTTTGAAAAAGTTACATATTAATGTTAGATACATATAATGAACTACTGATACTAGTTTTATGTACTACGTAATTTGCATTTTACCATGACTCGCACAAAACTTCCTGTAATCACTAGGTCTTACACACACGTTTCAGTCAAACACAAATCATCAACTTTTTTCATAAAATTGAAAGCCCGTTTGGAAAAATAGTTTACAACTTAGTGAAATTCAATGAAAAAGGTTGCAAAAGTGTCAGTCGTTCTAAGGATATAACACATGTTACATCATTATATATTTTGTTAATATTGATTGTACAGACTGATATTTTATTCTATCTTAAGTTATATATGTGATTAAACATAAATTAACATGTATTAACATGTATTAACATGTATACGAGGTCATTAGTGTTTGTTACATTGTTCGTTGTATGTGTGTTAACAAATTGTATTCAACATTATCAAAGGTATAACAAATGCCGCGTATGCAGTGAAATCAAGTGTAAGTAAATAACACGAACATCATTCAGTATTAATTTAAAACATGTTTTTCTGACAATTGTTCCAGTTAATTGACAATGTATTCATAGTCTCTCCAAATTTGGCAATATTAATGCACCAACCAATTTCATAGCCTATCTATAGTTATCAGTAAATTCAAAACTCTGTTATCAGTATCATTCTGTCATTGTTTCCCTTATTAATGGCGTAAAAAATATTTTGAAATTTGTAATTGAGATCAAAATATTTTCTCACAAAATTAAGTCAACAAGCGAAGTTTAGGAAAATATCGAAATTATTTATGGTGTACAACACATCTATGCACTGCAGAACTTACGAAAGGCCGAGTAAAAAAACAACATATATCTTATGACATTGCTCATACATCAGTGCGTTTTGTCCTGTGCAAAACAGAGTCTATTTAAACGGTGATATCATGTTTTGTGATGGTTTATATAATTTTTAATCAAGTCCGTCCATTATGAAAAACAATATGCCATTTTTAAAAAGAAAATCAATCATTTTATAATGAAGGTCAACGTCATTAAACGCTAATGGTCAAATTCAGTTAGACTTATTTAAATACTGGGATGAACATCATATGAATTTCAACATTTAAACATCTTTAAAAATATATTTGAATTTCCGCTGATCTAGATGTGTATACTATCATAATAATTTCTAGTATGTGAAAGCGAAAACAGGTCAATCACAGTTTTTTTCAAAGTTTTAAATATTTATGCAAAATTCAAAACCATTTGCAAAAAAATTGAACTGTAATTCTCCCTCCCGCCTCTTCTCAAGATTTATTCATTTTGGTATCGGATAGATATTCCTTACTTCGTGGATTATGGTGTGTCCAAACATCACTAAACGACGCCGGACTCACAAGACTTTTTTTCGCAAAATCTTACCACGGAACGATGCTATACATTCAAACAGACATTTATTGGAATGTTTAAGGTACTGCGATTTGGCTAAAATCAAAATATCGCGGGTCAAAATTTCTATCGAGCTTCACATGTGAAAAGAACAATAGGAGACAAAGAAAACCATTAAGTAATCTATTGATGTCTTCCATATAAACATTAAATAGCCAATCTAAAAATATTAAGGTCTCATGGCTTTAGCTGTAAGTCCACCAATCAAATCAAAGAGTTTGATAACACATATTTCTAGATCAAACGGCTACCTATCAACTGCTTGTTCTAGAAATACTAAAAATACCATATACCAAAAATGTTTAGATCCATATAGATAGTCATCATTTGTATAGTCAACAACTGTATTTAAACGACTTTTACTCAAAGGCACAGTAATTTTCTTATTGATTGATGTGCAGTGAAAATGTATGCTAACCTTTTCATATAAAAAAATATCTGCAAAAGAAAAAAAAAGTACTCTTTTTGACGTGTAAACGACGCAAACTCTAAGGTGTATGACATGAAACCGTTTAATAAAATATGTGAAGTACTTTTTCGTGCAAAGAACTGTAACATTTTGGTGTATGTTTTACACAGACATACGTCAAAAAGTTGTTTATTTTAGCGCATTTCTTTACACATTAATCACTCAGAAAAAAACTACTTCCGTGTGTGTAAGCTTTCTAAGTATGTCCTATTTTAATTGGGAGATTTTAACTGAATAAAAAAGAACCCTGTTTGGCAGTGTCATACAATATCTAATCGTATCGGAGGCACACCACGGTTTAGTTATCATAAATTATTCCTTTACAGGTCATGAGTTGGCGTAAAGCCTAGGTCACAAATAAGAAAATGCCGCCGGGCGGCGTCTGTTTCTCCAAAAAAATCGCATATCAGCCGGCGTCCGTCCGGCGGCAGTGACTATCGGACGGCAGCAGCTGAACATTTTGCTCATCGGGCGGGCGCCTTCGAGTTTTAAGTAATACTTAAAAGCTAACGGCGGCCGGACGATAATTTGTGGGTTCACTGAGTATAAATAAAATCGAGCGGACATCGCTCGATCGCCGGGCGGCGACGACCGGGCGATGATTTTTTGATCGGGCGATTTTTTGTTCTACTAAAACAGCGTCGGATTTAAAAGGCGTCCGGGCGGACATCGGCCGGGCCCCGCCCGATGCCTGAATAGAGACAAGT